TGGCACGTGGGGCCTGTCCTCCAGCTCAGCGGTGCCCCGGCCCACACTCCCCACCTGCCCCGACGCCCACCGTAGCCAAACTTGCCACCAGGTGGTGCCAGCCCCTCGTCCGCCCGCCCGCTGAGGCCAGAGCTGTGCCGGTCCCAGACCCGGCTCTGCCCTTCCCCACAGCTCTCCCTGAGGCCATAGAACCCACACGTGCACCCTGGGAGGGGGCAGGAGACTTTCCTCTGGCCGCCTCCGACCACACAGGGGTTTCTCCCAGCGCAGGTGACTCAGGCCCTGCCGCCGTCCCCACGGCCCCCTGCAGCCACTGCATCCCCATACCTCCAGGTGGCCAGCTGCGGGCCACCAGGGCAGCAGACCCCAGCCACCCAGCTGCCCTTGGCTCTGAACTGGGTGGGCTGGGGGACTCCGGGCCCCACTGGGGTGGGGGGCATGCCGTTCTCCCTTCACCACCTGGAGGATCAAGGATGGACTGAACACCACTCACCCGAGTTCTAGCCTTGGGCACCCCTCCCCACCACCCCAGCCCTGCCCGCTCCCCCCTCCGCAGAGCCAGAAGGGAACTTTCTCTGAGCAAGTTTCAGGCCAGCCTTGCCTGGCGTGCTGTGTGCTGGGGGGTGAGTCTTGGAGCCCTGGACTCTGCGGGTCGCACCCCAGCGAGGAAAGGTGACCAAGGCTCAGAATCCATATCATTAAACCACTTAAGTCTCCCAGCAGCCTTGTGTCTGTCTCCTGGAGGTGGGGTGGGGTCACTGTGGGTCCTGGAGCCCCCCCGGGATTGCGCCTTTGGAAGAGCTCCTGAGCAGAGGCAGGCTGTGACCAGGCCGGGCTGGGGATGTTCCCAGTGAGCTGCTCACCCCTTGACCCAAGTGGGGGGCCCAGGACACCCTCCCCTCCACACCCTTGCGAGAGGGCCCAGAGGACACTCCTGGGAGCTGTGGGCTGAGAGGGGGGCTCTGCCCACTGATGTCCTTCCAGAAGGCCCAAGTGGGAGTAGTGGGGAGCAGGGCTGCCAAGCCTCCAGGGAGGGAGGGGGCGTGAGTCACAGGAGCTAGACGGAAGCTAGATTTAGAGAGCTTAGCCCAAGCTGAGGGAGTTGCCCCAGAAGAGGGCGTGGGCCTGCAGGGCCGGGCAGATGGCCAGCTGGGACGGGGTCCGTGCAGGAGCGGAGGGGTCCCTGAGCACACAGTGGGCAGCTCTCCACACCACGCAGGCTCCTGGCCACCTGGCCATGAGCGAACTTGGGCCCCACCCGTGGAGGCCTCTGGTGCTCTCTTCTGGCGGCCCTGCCTGTTGTGGTGTGTGACGGCCGGGGTGCCCTAGCACCTGGCTAGGTCAGGTGCATCTGACCTGCATATCCCCAAAGCAGCCGGTGGACCCACCCTGGATCAGGGTGTCCAGAGGCCTCGGTTCTGGGGTCTCTACCTGATGGGCAACCACAGGAAGCTTGGACCCAGAGGCATGTTGTGCCTTTCACAGTGGGCGATGGTGGGCCAGGCCTCGGAAGCCCCGACTCCCAACTGGGACAGGCCGTGCTGGGCCGAGTCTGTCCAGAGAGCCCAGTCAAGGGCAACTGGGGGTGTCTGGGGCCTTCTGCGCCACACCGAGACTTGACCACCACGGCCCCCTCTCCCTGGGAAAGAAAGGTTCTCCCCACAACCCCAGGCCACGAGAGGAGGCTCTGTCCTCCCAGGCCTGGGCAGGACCCCACAGACAAGGAGCCCAAGATGAAAAGGGAGAGCTGAGGGCATCAGCCTTCCTCCAGAAACCCACAGACCCTGCTGGTCCAGAACAGCCAGCAGTAGGGAACCCGGACCTTACAGCCTCCCCACACCCTGCCCCGCCCCCTGCTTGGCTGAGCCCCTGCCTCAGAGCGGGGATGAGCACCTCAGCGCCCTCTCCCCCGGGGCCCCAGGCCAGACTTCACTACTCAGGAGCTGCTCTGAGACGCCCCGGCCCCGCCTCTCTGCTCCGGCCTCTGGGCTCCCAGGAGGGGCTTCCCCACCCTCCCAAGAACAAGGCACAGAGGGGCCAGGTCCCCTGCCTGGAGCCCCAGAGTGGGTCAGGGCCTGGGTTCCAACGCAGTTTGACCTGATGCGTGTCCCTAACCACTCACGTCCCCACCTCCCACCCTGCCCTGGTCAAGCAGGGCAGAGGGAGGGTTGGATGGCACCAGCCCCAGAGGAGGCTGCGGGGGATCTGACCATGGGTGGAGCGGGGAACGTCACACCGGGGAGCTGCCCGCCCAGCACCCGCTCTGCACCCGGCTGTGCCGCCAGCAAATGTCCCCCCCAACAAGGCCGTCTCTGTCTTGCGGACAAGCTCGTCTTTGTGGCCCTCCTCCCACCCGCGTGGCATGGCTCTGAGTCCCCTCCTCTCCCGTACACGGGCCCGGCCAGGAGGCAAGAGTGGCTTCCCACGACATTTTGGGTGGACCTGCTTCTTTCTCCTTTCTTTTTAACGTTTTCAAAATACTTGATTCACCAAAAGGTTACTGCACAAAATAGCATAGGGTGTGAGATGTCTTCACACCTACATCAAGCTGCTGGGAACAGAATAGAGGTGAGGGGTACACCCGTCACCTGTGCAAGGTGCTGCTCGGCAGGGTCGGCTTCACAGGTGAGGACAGCACTGAAAGCATGAAAAGGGTCCCGACTAACCACCCGGCCCCACTGCGACTGACATCCTGAAGTGTCAGGCTAACGCAAGAGGCAAAATTAGAACTGAGAAGCTCTCAACCTGTTCAGTAGTTAAACCGCACGGCGCGGCATTCCAGGTGGGGTCCACAGGTCCCTGGGGGGCCCTGAAGGCTAAACAAGCTGCATAACAAGACAGCGGTATATTACAGGTTGAATTGTTTCCCCCCAAATTCATATAGGATAGGGTGATGAGGGTGGGTCCTGACCCAACATGTCTAGTATCCTTATAAATAAGGGACATTTGGACATAGACACACACACGGAGAAGTCGAACCCGAGCCTGAAGGTGGAAGCAGAGGTCAGGCTGCTGACTCTACAAGATGAGGAGCATCAAAGGTTGCAGCAGGGCTTCCCTGGTGGCGCAGCGGTTGCGAGTCTGCCTGCCGATGCGGGGCACGCGGGTTCGTGCCCCGGTCCGGGAAGATCCCACATGCCACGGAGCGGCTGGGCCCGTGAGCCACGGCCGCTGAGCCTGAGCGTCCGGAGCCTGTGCTCCGCGGTGGGAGAGGCCACAGCAGCGAGAGGCCCGCGTACCACACACACACACACACACACACACACAAAAAGATTGCAGCAAACCACCAAGGCTGGGGGAGGGGCCTGGACCAAATGCTCCCTCACAGCCCTAGACGAGCTAACCCTGCTGCTGACACCTGACCTTGGACTTCCAGCCTCCAAGACTGGAAGACAGTGAATTCCTGGTGTTTAAGCCATGCAGGTTATGATACTTTGTTACCACAGACTCGGAAGCTAACACCAGGTGAGCTGCGGTTTTCACTGGGCTCCCGTGGCACAGATGGCGCAAAAGCCCCAGTGGGTGAAGCTGTTGCCTCAGCAAGGATCCCGGGGTGGCCACGGGGCAGGGCCCCCCGTCTTCCCCACACACTCTCCCAGGGAAAGAAGCGCTTTCAGCAACTGCTCCGAATTTAACTGACCTCAGTCTGGGCCGTGGCGCGAGCATCCTGCTGCGCTGGGCTCAGGTGACGGGCGAGGGGTGAGAACCACTGACCGACGGGCCGTCGTTGTTCACACCGGGGTTCTTGGCAGACGTTTTCTCCAAAATGAGAAAAACAGCGGACAGTCTTTGTTGCCACGGTAAACTCGAGGTCTCTAGTGGGAATGAGAATTTTGGAACCTGCCAGCATCAGCGAGACGGCTTCCCGACCTGAAGGCCTTTCTCTGAGCGTGTGATGTTGGTGTGAGTTCTATGTGGACACGGAATGGGAGACTCTGAACCAGCATTCTCCAAACGACCGATGCGCCATGTCACATCATCACGGCGGCCAGAGACCCGTCCACGGAGCAAGATGGACCGAGGGTCCCCGGAGCCCCAGTGAGCGGTGCATGGGGTGGGCTCCCGGTCCAGACTGCAGCCACCCCGAGAGACGCCACGTGCTGGGGTTTGGTGTCGGAGCAGAGGAGAAAGTCCTCGAGGATCCCAAAAGGCTGTTCATGTGCTCCTGCCTTTCCAGCTGCAAGTCTGGGCGAGGCCGGATTTTCTCCGGATGCTTCGACCAAGACGACATCTCCCAGCGACCGAAGACAGACGTGGTGATGACGTCCAGCTGCCGCTGAGAAGCCTGACGTCAGGGAGATTCGCAGAAACGTGTATTCATGCCACTCTTCTTACTGAATTTTTAAAAAACTATTTCTCAGAAATCTATTCTTTATGTGTTGAATGCTGGCTCCCCAAAATGCTACCGAGGGACAGATCGATAAAGCTACGCGGCTTAGCTCCCTTGAGAGTCTTAGCAGGATCTGGGGGGCAAAGGGTAAGGTGTGTGTGAGGTTTGGGGTCTGGATTAGAATTAGGCAAATTCAAGACATAATTCGTTCAGGATTGGTGAGCACTTAAAGGGTTAGAAGTGAGTTTAGAGGATCACCTGAGGTAAACCATGGTATAGATGGTTTATACAAGTCTGTCATCATTATTTTAAAAGGAAGAATAGATGCAGGTCTTTAAATTTTCATAGTTTTATTTTCTAATACAGTAAATATGGATGGATAGCACACATAAGTAAAAGTTCTTTGGGGGCCTTAGTAATTTTTAAGTGTTTAAAAGTGTCCTGAGTGGGCTTCCCTGGTGGTCCAGTGGATAAGGCCTGCGCGTCCGGAGCCTGTGCTCCGCGGTGGGAGAGGCCACAGCAGCGAGAGGCCCGCGTACCACACACACACACACACACACACA